AACGATATTACATAAAAAGGTAGGAAAGATTAGTCAGCCAGTGAGTAGAGGTCATTATTTTGTCTGACAGGAAGTCCAGAGCTCTATTGATCCACCTCCTTAAAACAGAGTATTTGAGGATAGCAGCAAGTGAAAACATTGTTTTCTTTCTCAGCACCACGTAATTGCATGCTGCATTTAAAACCAGACTCTATCTACAAGTAAACAGGTTTATGAGGCTGTGAGGTATCTTAAGTCCAGGAAGAATTCTTTTTACAATTTAAAATATCTGAGCTGGGAATAGAACATGTTTTGGAGCTCAGCCCAGTGTTTTGGTCAGCAGCCCACGAAGCTTCCCTGGTAGATGCTCTTCATCACTATCTCCCCTGAAAATCACCTGCATAGAAATGGTTAAGCCAGTAGAAATTCAAGGCTCTCTTCTCACCAGTGTAAACAGGTAAGTACTCAGCTCTGGCACTCCACTGTTGGTAAACCTTTTCATTACCCAACCCATCAGTCTTCCTCATCCATAAAATGGAAATAATGCCAGTGATTTTTAAAAAGCTCTTTTTAACAATACATCTGTATTGATGTATATACACGGTTTAAGAGTCAAGTGTTACAATTTTCATGGTCTCTCTCAAATGGAAGTGGTGAGCCATGGTTGGTCAAAAGCCTCTATGTAAACTATAGCAGTGTCAGTGAAGATAAGGACACTCAGGTGGAAAACAGAGTTATGCTGACATACAAAAAAGAAATGCTCCTAAAATGAAATCAGTTAATAGCAAGAGCTCTAAATGGAAGGCTGTGAGATGGGTGGGAAGCAGGTAGAAATGTATGTACTTTCTTTCTATGGGGCCTAAGTATGCTGCTATTGAATTCAATAGCACTGATAAAGTTGACTTCAGGTATGAAACACGGGCTGCCTACATTTTTAGTAGTAATCTGGGTTTTGTCACCTTTAAATTGGCCGTGAGCTCTTTACAGGGTCCAGCTACAGTTCAGGAGCCCTCACAACCGAACCAGAACAGCACTAGCTTGTGCCTGTACAGCAAGTGAGGCTTGTTGGCATTGATATTTAATGGACATGGGGCACTGATGGAAGTACACTGGCAGATTTATCAGTAGAAATCTACGATGCTAATGACTCCAGCTGTGTAATCCCCTGACTCTTGGCCATAAAGCACTGCCCTCATCTGAACCGAATGCTTGAGTAGACCTCAGGTCTTTTGGCATGAAGTACTTCACCAGCTCTTCAAGACATGCCACCCATGCTGGTGGGTCTAAGCAAAGCCACGAGACTGCGGGTGAAAGCAGCTAAGCATGCAAATATAGCCTGTGTATAACACTTTAAACTGCTGCACCTATTTGCCAAGCAGCTGTGTTAGGCCCAAATATCCATGGTCTTGGGATCTGTTGCCCTGCAAACAACATAAGGATTGAAAGGACGTGGGAGTACTAGTTACAGGGCTGGTGTCACTGGATTCAGTGTGCAACATGCAGAAACCAAAGATTTCTGATTAGGTAAAACAACTCCTGGGTTTAAATAAAAAAAATAAAACAACACCCACCCCCCATATTTTTTTCTTATATTCTTTTCAGTCTAGGCTTCATTCTTAGACAACGTTTCCTTCTGAAAAATAAAAAGTAACTCCATGCCTGATCTTCCAGTAGTACTTTATGGAAAGGAAATCTCCAGTGATGCAATTAGTACGGTATCTTTGTCATTAAGTGTATTTCTTACCTTGCTGAGAATAGTGTGAGTAATAAAAATCAAAAGGAGAGAGACAAATGCCATCCAGGCAAAAATGTCAAAAGATTCATTTCTGTAACCCACCCCTCTATTACATGAAAGGATCACGGCCCTTGTTGCGCCTGATGTTTGACTAGATGGTGAGATATGTACCTTTTCAATTTAAAGCGGTAATTCTTAGGAAAATAGAAAATCTTCCTCGTTAAAGCTGAGACAGCACCACATCTGTAACAAATTTAAGGCATGTAAGGACAAAAAAGAAGAAGGTGTTTTAAAATGTACCTCTGAGGACATGTGTAATACCCCACAGGAGCTGGGCATCACGTTAGCTCACTGCTGACATAAATGTAAGGAATGTTTTTGGGTGTGGTGCATATTTACATCTCTCAAAAGAAATCGGTTACTGGGGCATTCAACATATTTCTGAAGTGGCTGGATTCCCCGTCCCCCTCTCCCTATCTATTTACAGTTCCCTTTCAAGTACAAAAAACATTTTCTGTAACCTCAGCTTCCTGATTCAGCTGTTGTGATGTCAGTTATTTACGATAACAAAAGTGAGACAATGCCTGTGGTTTGCGTGGGACAAAAGCAACCTCATTCCTGTGAAAAGGGACAATCCTAGTGTGAGAAGCACAGGAAAGCCTACGAAGTAGGACTCCGAGGTGATATTTCATTAGTCTCGCCATCTCACCACATTATCTCAAAGGCCATTGACGGAGGGTTTTTTCTTTTCCATAAGACTAGACACTAACGTGAATGCAACTCTTGGAAAATTACCTCTTTGCAGGACAGGGCTTTGGAGATAGGTATCTTGGGAAACAAATGGATTGCTAGTGGGTAGAGAGGCAGTGAGTGTCAGAACACAACTGTTTCAATACCAATTACACATTCTGTGGTCACAAGCAAGTCACTCTGCACCTTTGCGTACCTGCCACGAAACTGGTTTAATCATATTTAACTGTCTAAACCACAAATGTGGTGAAACTTGCAGAATGCCGGTAAACTCTTTGAGGTCACAGAGCAGCAAAAGGAAACGAGAAGCTCTCAATACACAGTGTGGTTAGTTATGAATGAAGAGCATCAACTTTGTTGTAGCCTAGACAATGTCACTTACCTGCTATTCTTCCAATTGGCATTGCGTGGTCCTCAGGGGGGGATACAGACACCATGATGTGGTTCATATAAGCTAACTCTTCTCGGTGGGACAGGTTAATTGGCTTTACCTCCCTGTGCAGCCCATCCTCAGACAACCTTGCTGGTTTGAAATCGGAGTGCCTGGGGTTCAGTATCAAAGGATGCATGATAGGGCTGGGCATCAGCTGGATGACCCTGGTGTTCTCCTGGCGAGGGCTGGAGGGCTTCTGGAGCACCTCAGAAGGAGGAGGGCAGTGGTTGTTTTCTATTGGGGACACTGAGAGAGGATAGGGCTCCTGGTGGTTGTTCTCTTGCTGATGCCTTGTCCCCGGCACCCTGTCGGCTGGGGAGAGACGACGGATAGTGTTGTCCATAGGGGACTTCAGTGGCCGCTGATCGGGATCTGGTGATGGACGGTGGTTGTTGGTGATGGGTGATCTAGAGCGATGCAACAGTTCAATGGTTGGGGGGTTGTGGTGGACTGTTTCTGTGGATGGTCTTGAAGGTCTCTGGACAAAGCTATCTGTGGAAAAAAAAAAAATACAGATTGTCTGTATTGTGATCAAGGTGTAGGATATAATTGTCAAACTGCTAGCTGGGCTTACTGGGTACTGCTGTCGCCTTGGAAATGTTTTTATTTATGTGACCTACAGATGCCCAGAAAAACGCCATATAAATGCAGGTAATTATTATTACACAGAATGAAATCAGTATCATGAAAACAATCTCCCTCCACCACTACGTAATGGTAGTTCCTGGGGAAACGCGTTAAGAGAAATTCCATTTTGAGAAGCGGACTGGAACAGACGTGAAGAAAGGAAGATCTGATTCAGCTGTACTAACTGTGTTTCTGTGCAAGTGCTTTGAAACTTCTCTCCTCCCATTCATGTCTCTACATGTGGTTCCTGTTATTGTATCATGATGAGCACTGCAAAGTAAAGGGCAGAGGTAAAAAGGAAAATGTCTCCAGGAAAATATTGGGTGACAAGTTTTAGACGGTAGAGGTCTGAGTCAAGGTGGAGAATATCTTAGCCTGAGATATGGATTAGGTTATCCAAAAAAACCCACTGGTAGGAAGCTCTTTGTGAAACACTAGCTAAATTTTATTCCTGCCTTGATTTTAAGAGCATGTAACATCTTCATAAGGATATTTTCACCTTGTTTTATTTAGTCTGTCCTACCTACTGATGGGTTGTCCCATATAAGCACTTAAATTTCTTTGGCAGGAGGACTTCTAACATCACTTTTGCAAGTGCATACTTCCCCACCTGTGATCCTTAACAGTAAGGGGGGCATAAATCACGGCTCTAGGGCAGTGTCTTTACATGCTAACAATTCTCTCACAAAATGAAATGCTTGACGTAAAGAGTGCAAACTTTCAGCTTAGCTAAGGTGATCAATTTTGACTTGGGAAATTACTGACAAAGAAGAAAATATCACCAGAGCGCAGTGACTAACAGGTTTTTATCTGAAAAACAAAGATCAAATTTCAGTTCTGTTTGTTGAAAGCCTTGAACGATAAGAGAAGGAAACTGCTGGGTACATGTCAACAACCGAAACAAGTAGCTGCCTATTTGTGGCTGCCTGTTTGTTCACTCCATTTGCTCTGATACTCTTTAACGAGTCTCTTGCTCTCTCGTCAAGGCAGCGATACTCGCTGAAGATCCTGTCGAGGTGAAGATCCAGGGGCTCCCGCTGCCCTGGAACCCAGGCAGGCATCAGGAGAGGCATCAGCACTTACCCAGTGAAAGGTCTGAACAGGAAAACCTTTAGTCCTGAGAAAACATAGTGCCAGGCAATGACATAGCACCGACCCTTTTGCCTACTCAATGGGCTGATCATCTATACAAGGATGCTAAAGTCTACAGGAAAATCTGAAATTTTAGTAGAAACTACATGGCTTCAGAACACTTATTTAACACGCTTGTGGTCTCCGACAAGAAAAATACATTTGTAGACCTATTTACAGTACTCACAATGAAACAGCTGGAGGACATGAAACTCCAGAGCTATATATTTTTCCTGTTTAAACCTAAACAGTTTTAAATACAATGTGGCCAGCTAATGTGGGATAGCCCAAATGACGTGAAGATCAAAGAGGAATTAATTTTCAACCGCACCTACCTCTGTGGCTGTCTTTTCTTAAAGTCTCCTTTCTTTGCCACAATAGAAAGAAACCAACCCCTCAATTCTACTTGGTGTCCTATCTTCTACAGACCATCCACCCCCATCATTGTACATTCAAATGCACTGTGCTCATTCTTGGCCTGTAAATATAGACCAGAATATTGTATTGTTTGTCCTACTTATTTGAAGTATCTTGGCTGTGGAGAGCAGCTTTCTTGAAAGTAGAAAGGAATGCCTTGCTGTGCTTTCCACCAAGCTCTTTGCAAACATTAGTTGGCTCTGACAAGCTCCGAACAGAAGCAGACCTATCTGTCTGCTAACAAGCCACGGTGGTCCTGAACCAGAACAGGGTGGAGAGAAGGTAGGGACCAAGGAACTCTCTAAAAAGCACCAAGAGGAAAAAACACAAATGGATACAGACTAGTGTTCATTTTCCTCCAAGATCTTCTCTCTAAATACTTAACTAAAGAACCCCCTCATGGCTGAATTTGCTGTTTACCATAAACCAATTCAAACTCAGCTCCAAGCAGTTCCACTGACATGAATGACCCTGAACAGAATAAAATCCTCAGCACATTCATTCTTTGGTGCATCTGATGACTGTACGTTGAGCACATATGATATATCGTTTCCTGCAGGAAAAGATACACTCATCAGTCTGGCTCTTCATTTTGAGTGACCAACACTCTTTTCTTGAAGGGAAAGCTGCAAAAGGGACTTCAGCTCCCAGGAAAATTGCTGACCTATCTGATCTATATAGGGATGGGTGGGGCTGCACTCACTCTAGGAGTGAGCAATTGCTGGCGTGACGATCCCCAAGATCGGCACTCTCTGCTTACCCATAAAAGAAGCGCAGGGAATGACAGTGTAAGCTTCCTGTATGGCATCGCATCAAATGACTCAGTGCTGAGTCAGAAGGACCACTGGAGATGTAGGTAATTTACTCTCCATTGCTCATCCCTCTACAGGGACAGAGACCGATGTCCACAGTGCAGATTCCAAGCCAATGCCAATGCATCTTGGAGATACCCTGAACTGCTGTCAACTGACTTCAAACAGTCAAACCCACTTTGCTTAAGCTAGTAAAAAGCCACTAGATGTAAATGGTGGTCTCATCTGATTCTAGATTAATTAACTTAAAAGGAAAGCATTTAGAAGCAGGATCATAAGGATATAGTCTGTTAGGAAATGGGCAAAACAGCCAGCAGAAGAAAATGAAAAAAGATCACTGCAGTAAGGAGGGACTCCATCACCTATGAAGTTTAACCACTTGAACTTGTGCTGAAGTAACACTTGGCCCTGTCACAGTTTGTGAGTTAGGCAGGGTTAAGTTCTGCTTCTCACATTCATTATCCTTTTTTACTAAGTTGTGTTCTGCTGAGGGAAAATGGTAATATTAATTGTGCTAGTTTCTCCCAAGGGACTCTGTGAAACAGGAGGAAGAAAGAAGGAACGTCAAAATACATCAATAAATAAATTCACCTGCCTATAAATTTTTGGCATAGAGGTTTTCTGATTGCTCAGAGTCTTGTGGCAGGCAAGCTGTAGCTTCTTTTGCTTCTTTTGAAGTTCCTCTCACAGCAAAACAAGAGCTAATTTTTGTCATTATAAAGAAAAGTTTTAAGTAATAGCACAGAGTTCTCTAAGCCAAAACAGTGGCACTATCAGCAGCCAGAGTATTGGGAGGAAGAAATCAAAGTTGTTTCTTAATCATCCTGTGCTCTGACAGAAGTTGGACTAGATTGCAAAGGACTTGGGTTTTAAGTGATGGACGTGAAAGGCCAACTCAACATCCCTGTGAAATCCTCTCTAGAGTGAAAGTTTCTCCATATCTTTCATGTAGGGGCATCTGAGAGGCCAGTTAATATTTCTGTTTGAAATTTAGAAAGGGAACACTTGTGGGTGATTGCCAAGCTTCAGGAAAAAATGGAGATTTTAATAATGGTCTCTGGAAAGTGCCTATCGTAACTCACTAGGCAACTGCCTCTTGCACAACTCTGCCATTTCAACCTCATCCTGACCTGTAGCACCTTCTTCTAATCTGAAATATTTACACAGCTGCGTGGAAACACTTTAGAGTGTCCTTATCCCCCCTGCTGCTGTCCTGCTCTTGGCTTAGCCTCAGAGTTTTGCTGGTGCCTTTTGATTCTGACTTGCTCAGGCTGGCCATGGGCAACTTGTACGGGTCTGACAGTACCCTTCAATCTTCTCTTGAGATTCCACGTTGAATCTTGAAATAATTTGTGCATCTTTTTCTGCAGAGACTAGGATGATATCCTAACTGACTTCTGTTCTCTTCTCCTGTTTACTTAAAAAAGGAATAACACTACTTTTTCCTAGATTCTTTTTTTTTTTTTTTAATTGAAAAAGGGAATTCTGCCTGATGCTTTAAGGGAAAAGACCTTTTAAAAGGCTTAGGCTTTATATTTTTCTATTATTGGAGAAAACCAAGAAGTACTTTAGTGTGTACATATTTAAAGAAAATAAAAGCTCAATCTTCCATCAAAAGAAGCAGACTTACATTTTGATCTGTACTAATAACGAGTAGAAGAAGCCCAAATCTGCAATTCCACAAACATATCTATTCATTCTTCACCACCTCCGACAGGCATGGTATGTGTGGACACTACTGGAAGGCTACACTAATAACCTAAGCAAGTAATTCTGATACTAAAAATGAGAGAAAACCTGTAGAAAAAAACTTCTCTCAATGTGAATTGCTCAATCAGCTCAAAAGCTCAGCAACATGATGGGCTCAGTGCTAAGAACGCTGGCATGATGCAATGACAGACTGTCAGTTGAAGTGACTTTGAGTTAGATGTTTCTCTCTGAGGCTGCCTTCTCCCTTGCTCTGCAAACAACTGCAGAACAGTTGCAGATGCGTCTAGTTGCATCTCCAGGATACTAAAAGTCCATGAAGCATCTTTGTCTACCTAATTGGGAGTGAGGAAAAACGCATCAATGAGGTCAATAAAACTTTCTGGTATTTTTAAATCTGCATCTGGCATAGATTTTAAGCAGGCTTTGGAAACAGGACAAAATAACAGAAGATAAATGGAGAATGGATGGTTGACTCTCTAGAACAGTTGCTTGTTCTAAAACTATGAGACAAAGGGAGGACAGTAGCTTTAATTAAGTAACTTTGGAGCAAGAAAAAGACATAATTCTTCACAGCCTTATCCTACTCCCCTCTATAATGGCAGCTCCCATAAGAATGAGACAGAGTTACCTTCATCATGATTCTGGTGTAATATGACCTCTGGCTGAGCATGGATAGAGTTCCCGGGGTGGAAGAAAGGTGTGAAGAGCATACGAGCTTTCCTTTGCTTCAGGATATGCTGAAGGAGTTCATACAAAACATCACCTGAAAGACAAACAGCAGGAAAAAGGAAATGAAAACCTACATACTGCTGAGAAGACTCATTTAGCCATCTGATGCATGAATTCATGGCTCCTGGGTGCTATGTTCAGACCCAAAAATGCTTGCAGTAAAATCCTACATTTCACTGTTTTGCAAGGTTCTTCCCTGGAAGGAAAAAAAGAAAAAGAAAAGCTGCTCTGCACACCTCTGTGTGTGACTGTGGAAAAACGGGAGAATGACAAGACATGGCTTTTATTACCCCAATACAGAGGTTTATTCAGGCTACGTGACTGCCCATCCAAGAGCTCCAAACCTTTACAAGCAGTAGTTAGTTCAGTGTCCCACCTTCTCACAGCCTCAGTTTTCAGATAGACACCTCAGGACACAGAACTCTTAAATGTAGAGCCCATGATTTAGGCAGTGAATTGCTGGGAGCAGAGATGATGCTCTTTAATTATGGAACAATTTAGGCTTTATGGGTGGAGGAGACAGATGATGCTGTAAAGCCTCTCCAGGCAACACTGGTGCCACAAGGCCAGAGGCAGTGTGCTAAGATCCGTCATTCTAGGAAATCCATAGGAAGAAGAACTCTCACTTTCAGAAGTTACTTTGGGATGGACTCAAAGACTTGAAGAGAACTGAGAGATTTAACTACCCTGAACACCCTTGCTGTAGTGACAACTCCTGGAGACACTCGTGTGCTATAGGTGCCTTAAGAACTTCTGTACATCACTCCTGGTGTCATGGGTTGGACTCCTGAAAAGCCCAAATGGAATCCCAAAGCTAGTTATTTCTAGCTATTAGAATCCGTATCGAGCTCACTGCAACAGGCAATATTAGACCACAGACATGATGCAGACTACGGAACAAAACGCAGTGGACTTGGTGCTCTGCATGGGTGAATGTAGTCTGTGAGTTGCTGTTGTATCGCTCTTCCACAGAACTGCCTGCAGTGAACTGCACTGCACCAAGCTGACATGTTCTTGTGTGAATCGATCCAGATACTTGTTTCTTTTTGGGCTGCAGGCAGGCTGTTCCTCGCATCCCCCCCTTCCATTCCCTGGCACCAGAATTGTTATATCTTTCCTCAGTGGAACATATCACATCAATATCTAGGAGACCAATGGACTACCTGCTTATTTTGTGGGTTTTTATGTATTACATCTTGTACTGATGCCCTTCCTCCAACAACATCTACATGAAACACCTAGGTACTTGCACGTTTTGTCTGATGTAACTGGTTGCACATTTCCAAGTGAAAACGTACAACACGGGGTAGGAAGTCTCTTGACTTTTAATTCTGAGTGTTCTCTTCTGTTTGTCATTGCTCAAATTACAAAGGAACAGGTTGCATCAACAACACATTATCTGAAAAGAAACTTAGTGAAGTTTCACTTAGGAAACCTTGGATTTTCTGGGAGAGTTTTCTCAAGTGTGTGGAGTTTTTTTAGTAATTGTTTTCTACGAGACTGTAAGCTGTGTGCCGTTTGTCCCTTGTCTTTACAAACTGCCAGTGCTCTATTTGTAGGCAAGTTCAGTGTCTTAGTGTGAAACAGTTAAAGCCATCCTGCTTTCCATAGTTCAGCTTCCTTTATTTTTAGCATCTTGGCTGCTTTTACTGTCTCAGCAGTGACTTTAGGGCATTTTTAAAAGGTGATTGCAATACCTGAAAATCTAATTAAAAACAAAGCCTCGAGAACCCAACTACCTTTTCCATGTTTAGTACATGAAAGGCTAAAACGTGATTTTACCACATAATTTGCATCTTTGAATGCAATAGTCGCGTAATCATAACTAGTGCTGTAACACTCCAAGCAATAAGGTAGCAAATTTGTACCTCTTTTGATTTGGCCTGACAGACTAGTGAAAACGTCCATAAAGCTGTCTGTCTTTTTTTTACCTAACAAAACAGTTATGCTTCTGCACCACCCAGATGCAGTAACGCCAGTTAAGAAGGTGAAAAGCGTTTTCCACTCTCTCTCTCTCCTCTGCTGCCTCCCTTCCCTGGCCAGCCCTAAATAGGAGAATAGCTGTGGAGCTGTGAGCCCACTTTATTGCTAGGACTGCCAGGGGGAGTGGATGCAGTTCTCCCAGTTTAACCATGAGGGGAAAAGATACGGCTTTTATGTAGCTACACTGTTGAGAAACTTAATGCCTCAATGGCAAGCATTATTTCATCATAGTTCTTAAATTTCATGTATAGTTAATTTCTGGGAAATGTTGAGGTAATGTCCCTTTACCTACAGTCATCCACATTTTTAGGGACTGACTCAGATATCCTCTAAAAGGTTTATTATTAGTGGGGAATACCTGGAAAGAAGGAGAAGAAAAAAAGTGAGGGAGGAGGCCTTTAGTTTGTCTATTCCATTTCCAATTTAAGTAAATAAGAGCTTAACCTTCTCTATAAAGTAAGAATTTGCAAGCCAGAGGATCACCTCTGGGAACACTATTTCCAGCCTACAAACATTTTAATCCTACTCATTTCAAGTACCCTCACAGCACACAAGGGGAAGAGCAGGGGCATAACTTGTAGGCAGCAAGGCATTGGGATGATAAGAGGACACGATACATAAAGGTGTCCCTTACAGTCCTTGCTCACATCTCCATTTTCAATACTCCTGTTGCCTTAAGCAGGGCTAATTTTTTAATGAAATGATTCCAAGTGGTGTATCAGAATTAAGGAAAAAAAAAACATTTCTAGGCATCGGTTTTCACTACTGTATTATGCTGGCAATAGACATTAATGTTTGGCATCTCCTTCCATACAAAATTAGTCCTGGATTTGAAGCACATGCTTAAAAAACTTTGTATACACTAAACCTGCAGGAGGATGGTTGTGGGGGTGCATTCAAGGGAGCTGCCAAGCAGCTCGATGCAGCAGTAGTGCCATGGCTTGTTTATCAGCTGGATCCAAGCAACACCAGCTGTACTGTTGCACCTAGTGAGCCTTGCACTGGAAGCCTCCTCACAGCAATTCTGTCACCTCTTGGTCCAAACTCTTTGATCACCTACGGTGACTGCATTACGAGCTTTTATATTGAACAGGAGTACCTTGTATGGTCACAAAAGAAAAGCTCACAACTCTTATTTAGAACCAATAACTCATATTTAGTTAAACATCCTTGACAAAGGAGGGCTGAGGCTCTGACTCTAACAGTGGTGCAGACAGACCGCAGGGGATATAAATACAGGCAGGCAATATACACATTTCTAAATCTTCTTCATGAAAAAATGAAGACATAATTTGAGCAATAGGCAGACTGACGCACACACCTGTCTGTGCTGTGCCTTGGGCTGGACTTGAGCATGTGAGAGAATATGGCAAAGTAAAGCAAGGCCCACAGGGGCTGTTAAATAGAGGAAAGGTCCCCCAGGGAGGAGTTCTGCAGTCACTTTTAGCAGCACGTCAGCCAAGCCAACTGTGAGGCAAAATGCTAATATGGGCTTCTTAAAGAGGCTGGAGCACTTGATTAACTTGCTGCTGTAGTTGGGTCTGTGAAAAGATAAGTCTTTACAGGGAAGAGCTGGAAGTCACAAAGTGCTGCTAGAGAAGCTTGCTTTCTGGGACTTCTGCAGGGAGTCTAGAAACAGGCTGGATGTTGGGGTTTGGGTTTGGATTTGCATTCAAATTTGCCTACAACTCAGGTGTATCAGGATTTAATTCCCTCCTTGTACTTTTTGTCCGTGCCTCATGCAAGTGTTTCTGTTCTCCCTCTCCTCCCCTTGCCCAGTCCACCTCAACAAATGTGACCGTTTCCTTCTCTGACTCTCTCCAGATTTCATTGCAGCTTCCTCTCTCTTTTCAATCATACCTTCTGTAAATAATCCTCACCTGAATGAGGAGACCTGTATCGAAAGTCCTCTTTGGTCAGGAGCAGCAGAGCCTTGCCGTTCATCTCAAAAGTGTTGCTCTCAATCGGCCTCAAGGAAAACTCCTTCTCCGCCCACCTGAGCCACTGTGCCACATCATCCCTGCTCCAGTAAACCGGCTGCAAACCTGTGGCAGGAAGAGACCACGACTGTGTTACCAAACTGAGACAAGACATGAGAATATAGGCAAACATCAGTGAACCCTCCTTTCTCCCCACACCACAATGTGCAAAGTCTCAGGGGGAAGATGTAGGAGAGGAATGTCACGTTGATGCAGAATTACTTGAAGCACCAGACTGTGAAATATTTCATTAGTTTAGGCACCTTGGTTTATCTATGACATGCTGAGAAACAAGAACTGCCTTAGCATCCTGAAAAAAGTTTCTAGGATGTTATTTCATTCCAGGTCTCCACTGTGAAATGGGATTTTCCTTCAGCTGCAACTTCTGAGGTGCAGAACAGGCAGGAGGCAAAGTCCTTGGCCCCATCCATCCTCAGCGTGCATTCTGTCATAGAAGAGTGGCCTGCTCTCTCTTTGCCCCTTGTAAAGCCATCAACCAAGACCAATGAAAAGCAGTCAGATGCAAGAGAGCTACGGCCATACTTCCCTCTACGTGGCTGGGGTCTGTAAAGAAGGGCTGCTTAATGTAGCCTCTGTAACAGGGTGTCTGTAAGTGGTTATCAGTGCGAGTATGGTTGAGAAAGGCATATTCCGACTGGCCCACCTCTCCTGCAGATGCCATTGCGATAGCAGATGCTATTCCCACACTGGAGAGGAAAGTAAGTGCTGAGACTGTGGCACCTTTAGCACTGGTTTAGCTCGTGTACTCTGTATAGTGATAAAATATTACCAGTGTAACTCTGTCCATGTAAGGGTGGTATGCCATTTTATAGTAAAACAGCAGGTGTGTTCAGTTTGAGCACAGATTTGCTAGGGCTCCAAGGAGAATCTAGCACTCCCTTTCTCCCAGCCAACTCCCACAGCATATACAGCCTAGACTATTGTGTTTACTCACAGGAGCCCAACTACGTTACCATGAAAGCCAAAGACCTTTTGCCTGCTACCTTTATTGGGCCCAGGCAGTAAGGCTTGGGAGGTGTGATAATTCAGTATCTGTTTTATAGACAAATTTAAAATAGCTTCCTTCCCCTGGAGAGAAGGTAGCATGGTGAAGAGCTGTTTATACCCAGGTAGAGAGATTATCTCCAATCCACTGGGAGATAAAAGCCTTCTTTCCTTTTCCCCCTTGTGAGATGACTCATTGTTTGACTTGCTACAATGTGTTGCATAGAAATGAGAGCTATGAAGGCTTCACACTGTGCATAGGAACATAAAATTTGCCGTATCTGATCAGATCTCTGGTACACAGCCTCTGGCAGGGGCTAATACCTTATGCTTCAGAGGAAGACAAACCTCCCTTCCTCATATTGCACCTGGCTGATTGTGTGCTGCACATGGGAAGACATTTCCTTCCTGGCACACCACTTTCTGAGATCTGATTACCCTCCTCCTACCAAGCACTAAAAGAAACCTGGGAGAGTTGTACAGCTCTGTTTTGTTTTGGTTTTTACTTCTTTAACAGATAGGCAACCCTTTCTTCTGTTTCAGCAAGAGGTCACATGCAGTGAATTACATTCTGCTGCTATGCCAGATTCCCAGACAGCGGCTTTGGAAAGTCCCAGACCCACAGCTGCATACAGAACTGAATCTCGGTCGGAAAAGGAATTGAGATCGAGCCTGAGAAAGGGTCAGAGCTGACCTAAGGAAGGGACGTCTGCATGGCAGCAGTGAGAATTTCCATTGGCTTTCAACTGCCCCTGTAGCACTGTATTATGTACCACACAGAATCGAGAAGTAGCAATTATTTATTTATGAAGGACTTAAATTCTCTTCCCCCTATTGAATTAGGGTCTGATTACTGGGGTCAGAGTTTTCTGTAGGACCTTTCTTTTTGAAGAGACTGGGGTGAAGTGTAGATCTGCTTAAAGACATGCAAACCGTCATCTAAAATGCTAGAGTGAGGTTTGTCTTTTGCTGAATATGGGGTTATTCCTGCAAAAAACAAGCTCCAGACCTCAGGCTGCTGCTGGGCAGCATACACATTGATCGCAGCTAAAAGAGAAAGAACCGAGACGTGATGCAGCCAGACCACAACTTATGAAAGGGTTTAAAGACCATCTGAGTAGTGCTTGAAATGCTCATGTGTGGTTTCTTTTCCCTCCCTCTTTGCCATGCAAGTAATAAGTTGCCCAAAGGAGCACTGTCATGCGGAAATCTAAGTGGACTTCTGATGTGCACTTCACAAGTTGAGGCACGAAACAAAACAAAACATCACTGGGAAAATCAGGCCAACACGGGCAGAGCTACACGATAACTTCACATGATGTGCATGCTTCCTTATAGATAACAACATAACAAATAAATCACACCCTGTACAAGCACAGATCATCATTTCCCATGTCCCGGTGACAGTGTACTTTTGCATTCCATTCACCTAATACAAAAGTACTATGTCTAAAGAGAGGTTTAAACTGATTGGTGCTAGACCCAAAACAGCCAAACAAGCTACACAGACTGGGACAAGCCACGTGTGCTGTGCTGGCAACTTTGAAATAGATGCAATGCTTCACACTGCAAATCAGGTCTTTGGTGGGTTACAGCAGCACCTCTGAAGCTCGTAAGAAATGCCCCAAAGTAGTATGACCTAGGACCACTTGGCTTCTAGTTACTGAGAATCAGCAAGCAGCTTTCTAATTCAGTTTGGCTATTGCTAAAGTGAGTGGGTGGATGCGCCACATCTCTCCACCATGGGGTGATACCACAATTAAATACTTACCTTGTGTTTGGAAGATACAAAGTGCCATAAAATAAGTCAACTGCTTTTCCCTAGATAGATTGCCTCTGCTCTCATTTCCGTCCCTCCCTGCCCTGCTGCCTTCCTGGGAAGTTCGTTTCTCAAAAAACCTTTCTTTAGTTGCCTGCCTCCAGTGCATGCCCATTTGCTTTGTGAGGCTGAACCAGTTCAAGTCACAGGAGGCTTTACTGGGGGTGCAGATCGGTGTTGTTGAACGTGCTTCAGAAACAGCCATTCGAAAAATAATTCTTTCATGTGCAGTACAGTATTTACTAAACTTGTATCCCACCTTCTTTAACCTTTCTTAAAAAGAAACAGTTGGTTTTGTGAAAACAAGGGCACGAGAAGGTTGGCTTTGCAGCTGAAGGGATTTTGCAGCACAGCATACATAGCTATCAGTAGGTCCTGAAAATGCTTTCCTATACTCTCCATGAAAGAAAAACTAATCCTGCTTATACAATTTTTCTTTTTTGGATACTGTTTCTTATTTTCCCCTCTCCATCTTCTCTTTTATTGTCCTGCTCACGGTGGAGGAAAATGGGCTCTTTTTATCTCTCCAGTTTTATTCTCTATGAAAGCTAACAGCATTGTCTTCAACTAACAAAGATATTTACCAAGCAGAATAAAGTGAGAAAAATGAGTGCTGTGTTACAAAATGAGGACAGAATTTTGCCTGCTGAATAGACTGCTGAAATCAGTGGGAAGGCTTTGCTGCTTTCAGTAGGTGTGAACCAGACACGGGGGATGCTGCCTTTCTCCCAGTCTGCCCTCTTGGTGGCCACTGTCGCCATCAACTTCAGAGGGTGAATTTTGACCTGGGAGTTGGACCTTGTTCTGCTCCCATCTCTGCCACTGCTCCACTGGCTGAAACCTGGCAAGCATTCCCAACCTTGGTCTCCCTATCTGCGTAGTGTCAAAATAAACAACAATAAAAACTTCTTGAACTCAATAGCTGAAAGCAGGTTAGACAAAGCCATGTAAACCACCAGAACCCGTCTGCAAGATCCAGTGTATTCTCTAGTCTGTCTTCTGTCAGCTTCCACCAGAGTGAAATAGAATAATTTATAGACACGTTTATAATCTGACAGCTTCATATGCATTAAACAGGGAGCAAAACTCGTGCTCACCTTTCTAATGCCGCAGGCTGGTGTGCTGGTGTCTTAATAGATTATCTACTTCTGCTGCTTATTCCTCTCCTGAAGTCCCGTTTGTAACACCTGTTACACTAGCTACCTTATAAATGGTGAGAGTGATCAATTCTCATGCTCCAGGGCACAAGCTGATAACCATCCAGACTGCAGAAGAAATCCACTCCTGTTGCTTTCTATTCTTGTGCAGCAAAACCAAGTACAACAAAGAGAGGACGATGGGGTAATTTACACCTTCTTCTACACCTTCGAGTAGCCAGTAAAATCATTTACACATATTCAGGCACTTACACGCATACACACACACACACACACATATGCAGCAGAATGTATTGGTCTCTTGAAGAGAAGTTTAAGCTGATGGTCTCTGAAGAGTTCACTTCTTTTTTGACAGTGAGAGCCTCAGGAAATTTAAGCATGGTCAGGCCCTGAGGTTAGAAAACAGAGTGCTCTGCTCACCTACTGTAACCTTCTGCACATAAAACTACACAGCCAGCAATATTTGCATCCAACCACAAACTTCTGGTAGAGCTACAACTTTGTTTTTTGAAGAGACGTAGCCAGCCTTGAATCTTGCAAAGCAATCATGCTCAGCATCTCCTTCTTTGCTTTGGAAGACAGAGTACACGTTTTACAGTATGAGTTGCTATGTACAGTGTATGTAACAGATACATCTGAAACGTGAAGTATAACATACTGTAGGCCGTTTTCACCTTGACTCATTTTGGAACAACCTGAAGACACAAATCCAATGTGAAGTGTGATGTACAGCACCACTGAGAGCTGCTGTTCCGTTTTAGTTTCGATATGAGGACGCAGCCACACGACAGCACGTATGACGGAAACAGCGTTCACAGTAAGTTTCGTCTAACTTTTTGTTCCATTTCAGCCAGGCACTCCATCCTTTACGCCTGGCTGCCTGGCAGGCAGGGTGACGAGGCGAGAAGCGGGTAAAGACAGACCTCTCATTTATCCCTGCTTTCTGCAGGGCGGACAGAATCGTTCTCACTCCCACACCGAAAACGCCTTAGCGCAGTTGGGCAAACAGCAAAGGGGCCAGTGAACGCAAATCAGCAGCTGGTTTCCAAACACCCAGGGACAGATGCATTATCACTGGCAGCATC